CACTTTAACTCTTATTTTTGGAATAAAAATATAGAATTTCTATTTTGGTATATTTCTAATGTTTTACTCATATTTTAGTCTTTTTCCCATGTAAAAACCCATTATTTCCTTTTCCATTATTTCCTTTTGAGTTAAGCTAAATAGTCGATTGAATTCAATCTTTTAATGTGATTCAGTACAAGTGTCTTATGACTCAGTCAAGTGATTCCTACCCCATCTCAAATTGTATCGGTCTCATCTTAATTTTTTTAGAAAATTTTGAGTGATTCATAATTTTTGTCTCTCCTCTGCAATAATTTCAACCACACATTTTCACTTAATTTTGTGTCAAGTCCAATTAAAACCTTTTTTTGGATGGAGGGGGTATTTAAAAACTATATCATACATTCTACAAAATAATTGGTGACAAGAATAATTTTATTTATCATATAATCAATGAAAACAAAAAAAATAAATCGTGATATTGAAATATTCTCTCCGCCCTAGAGTATTTGTCTATTTTTTAATTTTTTTGGTCAAAATTGGTAAACTTTGACCTCAAATTAAATAAAAATAATATTAGATATTGATACAAAAATAGTGTTGTTAGACTTATTATATTACATAAAAAAATTCAAATTATTATTTTATCTAATTAATATACAATATACATTTTATTTAATTATAGATTAAATATTGAAAACAGTTGATTGAAAAAGGTCAAAAATGAACAAATATTCTGGAACGAAAGTAGTACTAAAAAATGAAAATAATTTTAAAACAATGAGAGTATTTAAGACTTCCCATAACTTTAGATATTTTTGGTTATGATAGAAAAAAAAGATGAGCCCTATCCCCGAGGGCTCAGCCGACTGGACGGTCACTGAGAGAAAGTAAATTAGACTTTAATCGCAGATTGGTGACAAATAATGGAGCCTGTACCTAGTACTTGTAGAGATTTTATGATTAGCATAGTTGTCTCCCAACGCAATTCTCAGGAATCGAACTCGGGTCTCACCTCCTGAGCACCCCTTACTTTACTAATTACGCAATGCCAAGAAATACGGAGTAACAACAACCTTAATCCCAATCCCAATGGACATGTAGTATATAGATTTGTAGATTTGTAGAGATCATAAAAATTAAAATTAAGTTTAACCATAGCAGAGAACTTACAATTAGGCAAATTATTTACAATTAGGCAAATTATTTACGAGTATTTATAACTCCTTAAAATAGTCTCGTTAATCGCTATCATAATAAAAAGGCGTACTGTATGTACTGTAGTTGATTTCAATTCTAACTTTGGTTACATTTAAAAGTGGACAATTTGTAAAGTAATTATAAGAGCAATTACGGATATTTAATTAAATATAATGAGAGTAGACTTTAGAGAGTATAAATAATAAAAAAAACTACTCCAATCATAATCTGATGGAATATTACTCGGTATTAGTATTTTGGAATTTTGTGTTTTTCGATAATTCAATTCCACGTAATATTCTTTACACTATTTTTTGTTCAAGGAATTTGCATGGGAAAATAAAAGAAAATAAATTGGAAAATAATTTTTTCTGTTTGGCTAGAGGGAAAAACAAAAAAGTAAACTGGATGTCACTGTCACATTTACGGCTTCTTGATAACTTTTTTTGTTTGTATATTTAATTAATAATTTGATAAAATAAAATACTCTTATCATCTCTTGTTTTATACTCCCTCCGTCCCTAAATAAACTTCCCTTTTTGACTTTTTGAGGATTTAAGGGAGAAATATTTTTGTGTTGACTTTCAGAAAATACCCTTGATGTGATATGTAAAAGTAAGATGTGATATATAGATTATTAGTAAAAAGGTATGATGTGATAGGTAGGGTATGAAAAAGTAATGGGTAAAAAGGATTTTTTAAGGGAAAAGAGAAGTTTATTTGGGGACAAAGAAAAAAACGAAAGAGAAAGTTTATTTGGTGACAGAGGGAGTAGATTTTTTATGTACTTTTAAATGATGTAATTTATACTTTTTATTTCTATACTAATTTGTAATTAAAATGATTTTAAAAATAGTAGGATTTTACACGTTGTTTGGAGTGTGAGATCTAATATGGAACGGAAGGAGTATTTGATAAAGTAGGACAAAGAAAACACTAACAAAGTTTAGATATTTGGTAAAACTCTTTTAGGGTCTGTGATGTTTGGTGAAACTAAAAGAAATATCGAACTCAATATTTCTAGATATTATAAATCTTTCAAATGGAAGGTTTCGATATCTCCCGAATTTGAGAGATATTAATATGGGGATTTGATACATCTCTTAATCGTTGATCATTCTCCACCACCGGTTACCATCGCCAGCCACCCCTGTTGTCGGTCACTCTCACTTATCACTAATTAAATCATAATTTTAAATCTCCAAGCAAAGTCATTTCAGATTTTAAAACTCATATCATTTCTTCCAGATTTCATAACCCATATCTTATTATATCTCTAAAACTCACCAAATGGGCCCTCAATATAATTGTACAACTATATTTTGACTGATTTTCTTATTTGATATTCCTTCTATCCCGTTTGATATGATTCTTAACATAATGACATATGATGTTTGACTAATAATTTTTCCATAAAATTTTAGTTGAATATTGGTATGGAATATAAAATTAAAAATTATGTGCAAAATTTATACGTAGTAGGTGACACGACGATATTATTTTATTAAATGATCAGTGAGATAATACTATAAAGTATTCCATATTTTTTTGTACTTAAAACTTTTTTTTTGAAAATGTTTATTTTGGAAATTTGATTCAAGTTCTACTTGCCATGAATTGTATTTTAGTTAAATTTTGAACTTTCATGACCAAATTATTAGTTTATAAAATGACCAATTTATTAATTTATAAAGATTAAGTAACATTTGTAATACTCCCTTCGTTCTCGAAAACACTTCCTCTTTCATTTTTTTTAATTCCAACAAAACACTTCCACTTTCTATTAAAAAACTACTTTTACCCTTACTTTTTCATATTTTACCTATCACATCATACTTTTTCTCTAATAATCTATACATCACATCTTACTTTTACCCATCACATTAGGGGCAAAATGGGAAGTCAACTATAATTTAACACTTTTTTATTTTTGCTCCAAGTCAAAATAGGTAGCCTTTTGCAAACGGAGGGAGTATTATTTTGTTAAAGACTAGGAATTGGTTTTTTATTATGTTAAACTTATAAAAATTACCCTAAATAAGACTAAAACATAGAAAAGGTACTTAAAATAGAATTTTCATATTTTTTTCGAAATAGAAGTTCACACTGTGGTAATAAGAATGTAATGTGGCACTGCACACGTGCACATTACTATACTTTTTGGTAATATACATGACCACGTTTGGTAATTTAAATGCATTTTAATTCCTATTTCGGAAATAAAAACATGAAAGTCTTTTTTGGTACATTTTCAATGTTTTACTCCTACTTTAGTCTTTTAATTATTTCACTCACAAATATTTTTCTTCTCTTAATGAAGAAAAAAAGAAAAGAGAAAAGAAGAATAATAAAGATAAAGGAGAGCGAGGCGCGTTGGCGCCCGTTTCCAAAACCATTTGAGGCAATGAAGTTATTCACTTAATATTTGAAGGATATTTTTATCCAGAAAAATATTGATGGAGCAATATCAGAACCATGATGGACAATAACATAAGTTTTAAAGTCATGAAAATAACAGTGCACATTTACCAAGCCAGATGGGTGTTAGTGCAATAAAGGCCGTGTTTGGAAAACATCATTTAGGATAGCTTTTGACATCTTTGACTGACTTTGGCTTTTTTGACCAAGCGAACCGCCAAAACCATTGTTTGGCTAATGGCTTTTTCACTTGGCATTTTGATCCGAAAAGCCAAAATCTGAAATGCCAAGGTGAGTAGCATTTTGACTTGGCGGTTAGGAAAAATAATTTTTTAAAAATCATTATTGTTGAAAGATATTTTATAATATATGTAAAAAATAAAAATAAAAGTTAAAAAAATTAAATATGAAAAAATAAAATGAAATTAAAAAAAAATTATATTTATAATTCATTAAAAAATTTATATTTATAATTTATTATGAATTAAATGAGATCAAAATTTAATACCTATATATATATATATATATATATATATATATATATATATATATATATATATATATATATATATATATATATATATATTTTGGTTCTGGTGAGAATGCAATCTTAGGAGAGAAATGAGAATGAATCTGGTGCTTTAAATTGTGAGATCTAAGGGTCAAGATTTCATCAAAATTAGATGCACCAAAATGGTTCGAAAATGCATTACGTCGAAATGCACCACAAACCTTCGAAAATGCACTATCTCAAAATCTGAGCACAGGATGCAATCTAAGCCGCACGATGCATCAAATCTAACGGCTAGATTTTATTCTCATTTCTCTCCACAAGGTGCATTCTCACGGGAACCGGCCCCTATATATATATATATATATATATATATATATATATATATATATATATATATATATATATATATATATATATATATATATATATATATATATATATATATATATATATATATATAAAATTTAATTTTTTAAATTTAAAAAAATATATTTATGATATGATATTTAAAAAAATTGTAAAATAAAATATACCATAAATGGAGGGATGTCCTAATATGTAATTTTTTTTACAAACAGCTAACTATAAACAGCTAAAGTTACCAAACACTTAAAATTTAACTGCTAACAGAAACAGCCGGTCAAAACAGCTAACTCAATCAGCTATTCAAATCAGGTAACATAAACAGCCAACTGCCAACTGCTAGCGTCCAAACCAAAATCTCAACTAGAAAGAGGCGTCCTTCTCGAGGGGAGACATATCACATATGTGGAGGGCATTCATGGAATTTCAAGCTGCCCTTCTTCCAGTCGAAGAAGAAAGCTCCTCCCATCGCTTCATCAAGCTAATCTATTATCATCTGTCCCTTTGTTTATAATCCCAATCAACTTCTCCTTCCCACGCCCCTCTTTCTCTCTCTCTCTTAAATTTCTTATCTCTTTGTTCCGGAGGTGTTTATTTATTTATTTTTAATACCCCAATCCATATCTGCCCTTTTCTTCTGCAGAATTTCTGGGCTTCCCTCCCCATATCTTCTCCCATACTCATTCTCATTACCCCCAATCCCTCAATCTCCTCCATTTTCGCATACCCTTTGAGCTCAATTTCATCTGCAGAAACCAGATCTTTGTTTCTATCTTTCCTTCAGTAGTTAAGTGAGCGTCGGTGCTGAAGAAAGCTCATCCATGGAGGGCGGGAGGTTTCCTTCTCCTTCTGAGGTTCTTGATTCTTTCTGGGTTCCCAACTCTAACCCCTCTTTTCAAGGTATTTTCTCCTCAAGATTTCTTTTTTTTTTTTGTTCTTTTGTTTAACTCTGTGTTTGCTTTGGCCTTTCCTAGATTTCCAACCACAAAAAAACTTGAACTTTTGGTTTGGTTGGTTCATTTAACATCTTCTACCTTAGTATTGTACAGATTTTTAGTTTATTCTGGTTTCTTTGTGGTCTTTCATGTGTTTCCAGCTTATGATTCTCTGTATCCGTCTTTATTTCCAAATATAGGATATTATCTTTTTCCAGTATGAGACCCTATTGACAATCAATTTGGTATAAAATATTTCCCGATTTTAAGCTTTTGGTTGGGTTAATTTGTTCTTATCATAGCCTTGTTCGGAGTTTACTGCCACCCAGATTTAAAAACTAATGTTCAGCACTTCAGGCTCCAGCAAAAACAAATCTTTCTTGTACCTCAGAGGGTTTGTTAGAATATAAAACCTCTTCTGAGCCTAAAAACACAAACTTGAGTTTTGGGTTCAGCTGGTTCTTTAACAATAGGGATAAAACAGGTGTACTAACTGAATATGTTTCTTCAGCTCCAGCATCAATGATGAACTTCAATGACCAGGAGATAGACCAGGGGGGCAATGAGGATTATGTGGGCTGCTATCTTGCCCCAGAGAAGAAGAGGAGGCTGAGCCCAGAACAGGTCCGCTTTCTTGAGCAGAGTTTTGAGGTGGAGAACCGGTTGGAGCCGGAGAGGAAGGTCCAGTTGGCTAAAGAGCTTGGCCTGCATCCCAGACAAGTTGCAATCTGGTTCCAAAACCGGCGTGCCCGCTACAAGACAAAGCACATTGAGAAAGAATATGATTCCTTGAAAACCAGCTACCATCAGCTCAAAGCAGATTTCGATTCTCTCTCCGTGGAGAATGAGAAGCTCAGAAATGAGGTAGTATCAACCAACCCTCTTGTTCTAATGCTTACCGGGATCAAATTCTTCACCTTTTTTGCAAGAATATAGAACTTTTCTTATAAGGCTTGCCAATTTTAGGTTCAACTGTTGACAGAAAGAATGAAGGGGAAAGAAAAAGGGAAGGCAAAACAAGGAACATGTGAAACAACAATGGGCAAAACCCACAATTCCCAGAAAGGGGTAAGTTCTCCAATAGTGATGTGCAAGCAAGAAGATGCAAGTTCAGCTAAAAGTGATGTTTTTGATTCCGACAGCCCGGTGTACACTGATGGCATCCAGTATTCCTCCTCATTCCCAGCAGATTCTGGTTTCTCCCAGTCCCACAGTTGCTTGTTCCCGAAGCTGCGCGAAGAAGAAGGGGAAGAAGTGGAGGAACACCATAGCCTGCAAATGCCACTGAATGCCTCCTCCTGCAGCCTGGGTTTCTCCATTGATGATCAGATGACTCCATGGTTTTGGCCTTAGTGAATAGAGGGCCGCCATTGATTGCAGTAGTACATTCTTGTGCTCGCTAGCTCTCCTTGCATTGCTATCTATGAGTGCTGCTTTCTCACGTGCTGTTATGTGTTGTAAATTTGAAGAAGATGATGAAGAATAATGATGTTGAATTTGAGATTAGATAGTGATGTGAGCTTTTTGGTGATTCCAATCATGGTGTAAAATATGTGCTTTAGCTGCTCTTTTTTGTAATGTTTCTCATATCAATGGTGTTTTCTAATGATTACTCCGCAGTTGTTTGAAAGTATTTGATTAAGAAAAAGATTGAATCCGATTAATTCTTTTGATTTTACTATATATTCATATGTCGGATTAAGATTATTAATTATTAAGAAATCGATCTAAATATGATTAAAACATAGTAAAGATTACTATTAAGAAATAATCTAAATAAAATTAAAACATGTGGAGTAACTAAGAAATTTGTTTAAATAAGATTAAAACATAGGTCTTATCTAAATAAAATAAGATCTCTTGTATTTTTATTTTTGACATATGAATGTTGGGATTGTTGGCATTATGCAATACTATATTGTCTTACTAGATAATTTCTATTTTGATATAAAAATATTGAAAGTTACATTATGATATAGGGAGTATATAAAACATGTTTTAATCTTATTTATATATTTCTCCCATTATTGGTTAATTTACCTCTTTTAGGAAAACTGTCTCGCATACATGGGGAAGGTTCTCATGACATTGGGAATCAATGTCATGGGATGACCCGGGGGCGCTCCGGTGTCTCGTTTGTAAAATTGACGATTCCTACCCCCTAACCCACCCAGTAAACCCCCCACCCCGCCCCGATCCGAACACACCCCCCACATCTTCAATTGCACCCCACAAGTCGATTTTGACTTTGGAGTCAAAATTTGTGAAAAAGGGGTGGAGGAGTTGAGTTATGACCATGATTAATTTCTTTCTCGTTTTGGTTTGACACGAAGATTAAGAAAAATTAAAAAGTAAAAATTTTTCAAGTTTGTTCTTGATGTGATGTAATAAAGTGAATATTGTAGATAAAAAATAAGGATATAATAGTACATTTCTATAAAGTTTTTTGCCAAAGTAGAAAACGAGAAAGAAATTTTTGGACAACCCAAAAAAAAATGATAATAAAGAAATTAATAGACAGAAGTAGTACTTTAGTCGCAGATTGATTGCTAAATCTGGTAATTGCAAAGGTCATATGCTTAGCTTAATTAACATTAGCGTGGTTTTCAGAAATCAAATTCAAATATTGTCCTCTGAACATCTTTTTGTTGTGACAACTGCACAATGTCCACCCCGAGAATCATATCATTGAAGTTAATGAAGGTTGAGAATATTCTTGGCAATGGAGCTCCATATTTAGACCAAGTCCTGAGTTTGGGGGGTATTAATGGAATTTGAGCACAGTAGTTTTGATGGAGAGGACTTTATTGAGTTTGTAGTTATAGTGCGGATTTCAAAGCTTTGTTTAATTGTTTGACATGACATAAGTGGAAACTCTTTTGTCTTCACTCAATTTTTTTTAAAAAGTTGGATGGGTAAAAAGATGTCTTAAAGCAGAAACAGTGTGTGTTTTTTTTATAGAAATCTTTATTTCTAGTGGCAATCCAATGTAATAACCCAAAAGTAATTCCATAAAAAGGCAGGCTATACAATTCATAGGGAGTGCAAAATGTATTGTTCAATTATTTTTTTCATGGCTTCAACCACATTCCATTTTTACTCATGAAAAACTTAATTTAAAAAAAGATTTTATACACTAACAAAATGAAAGAAAAGGGAAAAACATTTCCCCATGAGAAGAAAAACAAAACATTTGTGCAAAAAAAATATGAATTCTCATGTTAAAAAGAGAACTATGAATTCTCAAATATGAAAAAAAATGTCTTTGTAGATATTTAAGATCATGTTTTAAGTATAATACTCTTTCCCTCTCATTTTAATCTTTCCGTTTCGCATTATGATGCTTCATCAATTTTAATTTTAATTTAGTTTATTTGATTGTAAGTGTAAAGTAGAAACAATAATTATATATTTAAAAATTATGTCAAAAGATCTATAAAGTTAGATGTAATATGACTATTTGTTTAAATGAGTAACAAAAATAAAGGACAAAGCTAAATATATAAAGTTGACCATGTAAATAATGTATGGAAAGATTTGAGTATGACAGAGGGAGTAGATGGGAGTGACAAGCAAAGGGGAATGAACAACGGCAAGTCAGCACGGATGGTGGTAGCCCATGGCGAGGGCAGTTGACGGCTAAGAGCACTGGTAATACGTTTGAAGCCCCGTGGCTTCAAACCGGGGCTTCAAACTTTCTCTCTCTGCCACGTCAGCTTTAACTTACACCCAAAATTCACTGGAAATGGGTTTGAAGCCCCGGGGCTTCAAAACTGGGCTTCAAACCTTCATTTTTTACATTTTTAAATATACATCTTCTAAAATTAAATTAATAAATTGTACTTAATTTATTATTTAATTAAATTGAAACACGAATAATAAAAAAACACATTAATTAAATAAAAAAAGCGACAATAATTTAAAAAAAAGATACATTAATAAAAAACTAAGGTAAATTATATTTCTCCTTGATCTCTCTCATTCTTTGCTCGTAGATAATTCGTCCAAACTCCGACAACGTCCCGGGGTCGGTTTGCATGACTTTCATCTCGACCTCCTGCTCCTTTAGCTTCAACTCCTTCTCTTTAAGCTTCAACCTCTCCTGTTCTTGGAGATTGAACGCCCGAAGTTGTTCAACCATTGCCAGGCCGATTTCGTCACGGGGAGAAGCGGAAACAGAGGCGGACCCTCCCGAACCAGAGGCAATGGATTTTGCCTTCTTTCTTCCGATCGGCCGTGAAATGGGGTCCTCGTCATCGGAAGCCGCAACGTTGAAGGAAGGGATTTGATCGGTAGAACCAATGGTCTCGTCGACCTCAACCTCGGCGTCGACGGTGGATCTTTTCCGGAACGATCCGCCGTCGGGATTGTTGAGTTGTTGCCACTTCGGGGAACGACTCAAAATCCTCCAAAGATCGATGGGCACCTTGCCTTGGTTCCAGTCGTCTTGATACCGGGTCGTGGCAAGCCGGAGAACATCGGCGTCGTTCGTGCCGCTCCTCCGGGACCGGGAGCATTCCTCGTATACTCCCATAAACTTTCGGACTTTTTTGTTGATGTGGCCCCATTTGGAAGTGAGTTGGTCCCGGGTTCGGTAGGAGCCGTCCTTCTTCATCGCCGTGAAGAACTTCTCCTCGATATGATCCCACATCGCATTGATCGTTTGCTCCTTACCTTTAAAAATGTATTACACAATTTTTTTAGACACCATTAAATATAATATATATAAATAAAAACATAAATATATTAGAAAAAATAAATTTTTTACCAATGATAGGATGCTCGGAGACGTCAACCCAAGCCGACGCCAATATGCACTCCTCCTCCGGCGTCCACTTTTGGATTGACCGTACCGCCTCGGTCAACGTGGTTTTGGCTTTGTGACTCCTCCGGCGTGTACTTTTTTTCGATCCGGACGGTTCCGGTTGAGTCTCCGGAACCGAATCTCGGTCAACGTACCCCGGTTGTTGCGTCTCGTACATCGGCGGTCGATCGCCCAACTCTTGGTAATACCACATCGCGGCGTCGACGGGCGAGAGATCGTCGGGAAAGAAGCCGGAGCCGGAAGGATTCATGTTGAAAATTGGGAGGAGGGGTTTGAATTTTGAAATTTAAAAATAAGAAAGAAGAAGAGATTGGAGAGAAGGTGTGAGAGATTGGTTGGGGAGGGTTGAATTTATAAGAATTTTTTTTTTTTTGAAATTGGGGTGCAACGGCTTTTTTAGCCGTTAGGAAGGAGCCGCGCAAGAGTCACGCCGCGTCATTCGTTTGACGCAGGGCTCCTCACGCCCGTTTAACGCCGGCGGGGGACGGTGTTTCACGCCCCCAGGGCGTTTAACGCCCCGTAACGCCGGTGGGCGTGAGGAGTATTACCAGTGCTCTAATGGAGATATCACATACTCATATTGACATCTCGCAATTCAAAATAAGAAGATAAAAACACCTTTTTAGGAGATTAAATATGTGAATATATATATAATCTAAAACCTTTATACTTAATTTTCACCTAAAATAAAAAAACATTTTGATATTTGAAAATATCAAAAGAGTAAATTTCGAAAATGCTCTTCTGTAATAATGTATTTCTCAAATTCAGTACTCGATAAGTTATATTCACCCACGTGGTCCTTTATAACTGAGATTTATTTTTTAGATAGTCCTTCGTAAATAATATTACTCAAATGATGATTAATTAAAAGCTATTTTAGTATTTCTATCATCTAAATTTAAAGTAAATGTAAAATTAAAACAATATATTGAATATAAATAATCCATACGTTATTAAAAAGTTATAAAAAACTTTTAAAGTTCGAATCAAATATACATCTTTAATTATTAAAAACCATTTTAAGAAAACACTTTATTAAAAATGATTATTTTAAGAACCTACTATAAATTTAGCTTGTAAAAAATATCAAAATAATCCTCAATTGATCATTATTTGAGTAATATTATTTACGAATGACTATTTAGTGAATACATCTCAATTATAGAAGATCACATAAGTAATTTAAAATTTATTGAAGACTCATTTGAGGCATTGTATTAGAGAGTACCATTTTGAGAATTTACTCATATCAAAACTCATATCATTTTTAATCATCAAATACACCCCAAATCTTTGTAGTTCATAAATGAAATGTGGTTTATAAAACTCTTCCTGTTAAATATATTTAATATATATTTATGTTAAGTATATTTAATGTATTTATTATTATATCATTGTATTATTTGTAGTTACCTTTATGTATAGGTTTCCTTACTTATACTCCTACCATGATTAGGAGTCCCATCTTGTATATAAATATGGTTGTACTCCTACACAATCAATCAATTGAAAATATTCATTCTTCATGGTATCAGAGCCTATTCCAAAAACCTAATTTTTTTCTCTCCTGCTCTCGGTTCTCTCTCTCTTTCTCGTCACTGCCTCTCTCGGCAGTAAGTATAAGAACTGCAATGTTCTGTGTATTTCATTAAAACAAGAGGCCAAATATATACATGAGTTACATGAGCTACACCACTACGATCCAATTGCACAGCCGTAGGAATAGCTAACAACCCTTAGTGTACATGGATAATAATAATAATAATACATAATTATCTAGAAGTGAGTAGTTATCCATTGGTATTATCTCTGCGGTTTAACATTGACAGGCTTATTAGGATTATTAGACTTAATACGCCCCCGCAAGATTGGGGTGCCGTCAGACACACCAAGCTTGGAACGAAGTTTGAGAAACGCAGACGCGGGCAGCGGCTTGGTGAGTACATCAGCAGTCCCAGATGCAATATGCCGAACACGTAGTAAATTGGCAGCAACAAGTTCACGCACAAAGAAGTAATCTAACGCCAAATGCTTCATGCGCGAATGAAAAACCGGATTCTTGCAAACGTATGTAGCACCCAAATTATCACAAAATAGCAAAGGTGGTGTAGACACAGGAAATCCTAAGTCAGCCAGAAGGTTTTGGATCCATAGAGTTTCGGAGGTAGCATGAGCAAGGGCACGATACTCGGCTTCCGTCGAGGACCGAGCGACAGTTTTTTGACGAGCAGATTTCCAAGAGACAACATTGGAACCAAGATAGATCACATAGGCAGTTGTGGAGCGACCACCATCGTGCACACCACCCCAATCTGAATCCGAGAAGACAGTGAGTGTGAAAGGAACATTATCGTGCAAGTAGAGGCCATGCGAGAGAGTACCACAGAGATAGCGGAGTATGCGCTTGGCCGCCTGCCAGTGAATGTCAGTTGGGGCATGCATATACTGAGAGAGCTTGTTAACAGAGAATGATATATCGGGACGAGTGATTGCCAGATACTGTAGAGATCCAATAAGTTGACGATATGGAGTAGCATCAGTCAGAGGTGTTCCATCAGAGAGATGTAACGGCTTAGAGACACACATTGGAGTGTTAACGGGTTTGGCATCGAGCATAGCGTGGTGTTGCAGAATATCAGTGATATACTGACGTTGAGAGAGAAAGACGCCCCCGCGAACCGGAAGAACCTCAACCCCAAGAAAATGATGCAAAGCGCCGAGGTCCTTTAAAGAGAAACGACGGGATAAGGCTGCAACAAAAGCATCAATAAAAGTAGGATGGCTGCCAGTAAGAATTATATCATCGACATATACCATAAAATAGATAAGAACAGCATCACGTTTGTAAATGAACAAGGAGGCATCGGCAGCGGACTTTCGAAAACCAAACGCAAGCAAGAAGCCAGTGAGTTCAAGATACCAGGCCCGGGGAGCTTGCTTCAGGCCATATAGTGCTTTATGCAATTTACAAACAAAGTCCGGATGATCAGAATCTCGATACCCAGAGGGCTGCTCCATATACACATCCTCATGCAACGTCCCATTAAGAAATGCGTTATTGACATCTAGCTGACGCAGGGGCCACCTGCGAGACAAAGCAACTGTAAGAATCAGGCGAATTGTGACAGGTTTCGTCACGGGACTGAATGTCTCAAAGAAATCCCGCCCAGGTTGCTGAAGAAAGCCCTTTGCAACGAGCCGTGCTTTATATCTGTCAATTGTGCCATCCGCCTTGCGTTTGATGCGAAAAATCCATTTGCATTGGATTGGTTGTTGGGATGGACGAGGAACAAGAGTCCAGGTGCAGTTCTGTTGCAAGGCACGAAATTCAGCATCCATAGCAGACTTCCACTGCGGAGATTTCAAGGCTTGTCGAACATTTAGAGGAATATCAGAATCTGCAAGGGTACACACATTAACAAGAGAATCATTAAAGTAACGGGGATTCGGCGTTCTCGCCCGCACCGGTCGCTGGGGGGGTGGAGGATGGGAAACAGGTACGACACTGGAAATAGAAGAACTGGATTGAGAGGGGAGTTCGGGCCTTGTGCTGGAATGGAGTGAAACACGATCGTTACAGACGGGGGAAGAGTTTGAAGCTATAGGGACCGGGGTGGGGACGACAAGAGTAGGAGGCAGGATAGAAGATTTTGGAGAAGAAGAGTGTGTAGGGGCAGCTGGGAGAGATGGGAAAATATGCGGGACAAAGCGAACATGACGGGAGATATAGAGTTTGCCCGAAATAGGTTCATAGCACTTGTAAGCCGATTGAGACAAGGAATAACCAAGGAAAATGCACGGAGCAGAACGAGGACTAAGTTTGGTGGTATGATAAGGACGAAGCCACGGGTAACATAAACAACCAAACGGACGAAGTTTAGAGTAGTCAGGAGATTTGTGAAACAAACACTCAAATGGAGACAGGTTATGGAGAAGGGGAGTGGGCATACGGTTAATAAGATACACCGCTAATTGGAAAGCATGCGTCCAAAAAGTGATCGGTAGGCCAGAACAATGAAGAAGGGACATTCCGGTTTCAACAATATGTCGATGACGACGTTCAGCCATACCGTTATGTTCCGGAGTATGAGGCGGGGTAGTAAAATGAGATATGCCATGAAGATTAAACATAGGTACCAATTTAATGTATTCACCTCCATTGTCAGAAAAAATGGCTTTTATGGGCAAATTGAAATAATTCTCCACCAGCCTTTTGAATTGAGGAAAGAGACGAAAAACATCAGATTTATGTTTCATAGGGTACCACCAAATATATTTAGTGTAATGATCGACAAATACAAGATAATAATAATAACCATCAACTGAGCATTGAGAAGTACTCCATACATCAGTATATATTAAGTCAAGAGGACGTGAACTTGTCATGGTATTGAAAGAGAATGGCATTTTATGGCTTTTATTAATATGACACGAAGAACAATGAAAACTAGACAGAGATGAATCAGAGCGACAACCCTTCCAACCACGCAGGATCAAACTCATGACTTTATTGTTGGGATGACCAAGACGATGATGAAAATCCATAAGCGAAAACCCCGGCCCTTGTGTATGATGAAGACGGGGGGTACGCATGACGGGAGCAGCAGAGCTGACAGAATAGAGATCATTATGGTTTGGTCCCTGAAGTAGTGGCATCCCCGTTCGTGCATCCTTCACAAGAAAACGATCATGAAAAAATTCAACGGAAATCCGGTTAGTTTTGCAGAGTTGAGACACTGAGACAAGATTTGTTTGTAATGTGGGAACACAAAGAACATTAGACAACACAAGAGGCTTAGAGGATGCAGGTATAAGAGTGCGACCAGTGTGAGAGATTGGCAGAGTCTTACCGTTACCTAAACGAATCTCATCCGGACCTCCATACTCCAAGGCAGTGTTGAGAGCAGAGAGATCCATAGTGGCATGATGAGAAGCACCACTGTCGAGAAGCCAAGACGGAGACGGAGCAGCAGTAGATACAGCAGCATGAGCTTGTGGCAGGGACGAAGAGTCAGAAACCGCACAGTTGTTGTCCTTTAAAAACCTTTGAAGTTTGCGGCAGAATCTTGTGTCATGGCCAGGATAGTCACAAAAGTTACAGTACCTAGAGAAACGAGTAGAAGATCCACCAGTGGAACCCCCACGTCATCCACGCCCTCGGCGGAAGGAGTCGCGAGAGGGAGCATGTGAATGTCCAGATGGCCGAGAGGAAGAGCTAGAACCACCACTCGTAGACCGTCCAACATAGTTGGCAGTCGGAACAATCGGGGTCTCAAGTGCATCCTTGGGTTGAAGTTGACGCTCACAATCATTCAGGATATGTCCAAGTTCATCAATGGTGAGGCTTTCATTGCGGCCACGGAGAGATTGGTAGATAGACATATATTCGTCACCAAGTTGGGTCATGATGGACACAATGAGATCATCGTGCTCAACGGGACTTCCGGCAAGCGCAAGATCAGCTGCAATTGTGGACATGTCGGCAATGAACTCATCAATTGACCGAGAACCACGGGGATTTTTGTGGAGTTGTGCTTTAAGAGATATAATATGACTACGAGACATGCTCGCAAGGTTAGATGTGAGCCGAGTCCAGGCCTCATGAGCCGTAGTGGCTAAAGAGATGAGGGGCTGAACCGACTCGGAAAGACTTCCCAAGATAGCCCCGAGGAGAATTTGATCTTGGCGATGCCACAACAGATACACTGGATTAAGCTTCTTGGTGGCAGCATCAAGGAATTGGACAGGGGCAACAGAGGTTCCATCGACAAATCCAAGGAGATCGAGGCCAACAAGGGTGGAATGAACCTGTTGGCGCCACACAAGGAAATTTGTTTTAGTTAATTTGATCGGAAAATGCTTCGAGCCAGCCACATGAACGAGCTCGGTTGAGGATGCAACAGTGGGGGACGACATCACTGAAGAGAGGGATTAAAAAAAATTCTCGATGAAGAGGTAAACGGCTCTGATACCATATAAGAACTGCAATGTTCTGTGTACTTCATTAAAACAAGAGGCCAAATATATACATGAGTTACATGAGCTACACCACTACGATCCAATTGCACAGCCGTAGGAATAGCTAACAACCCTTAGTGTACATGGATAATAATAATAATACATAATTATCTAGAAGTGAGTAGTTATCCATTGGTATTATCTCTGCGGTTTAACATTGACAGGCTTAATAGGATTATTAGACTTAATAGTAAGGGTGCCGCAGGCCACCTCTCCTCCTTCAACCTTTGATCTCTTCCTCCTCCCATGGACAATTCCGACAAAACAACGGACAAATCCTCTTCATCATCATCCTCCTCCAATTCTCCTCACTTGGCATTTACGGCAATATCCAACGTCAAGCTCCATGTTCCCATACAATTGAGCTTCTCTCAACCAAACTACAAAAAATGGTGCCGTCTCTTCTTGCTTCTTGTTCGAAGGTTCAATCTCCATGGCTTTCTCTCCGGATCCAAGACCCCTTCATCCGCCGCCGACGACGAATGGTTTCAACTTGATGCCTTGCTTCAAGGATGGATTCTCTCCACGGTGACCGATGAGGTCTCTAACTTGGTCATCTCCTCTACTTCTACGGCCTCCGAGCTTTGGCGGGTTATTCATGATCTCTTCCATGACAATAAACCCACTCGGGCGATGCAATTGGAACATCAATTCCGCACCACGGTTAAGGGATCCATGCCCATGGCTACTTATTGCCAAACCCTACGCAACATAGCCGATTGGCTAGATGACGTCGACGCCCCGGTCTCCGAATCGCAGCTCGTGCTCCAACTATTGCGAGGCCTACCGGACGATCTCCAAGCACAAACCTCTTGGATGCAATTTCAACAGCCCCAACCCAACTTTCTCCAATTCCGGTCGGCGTTGTTGCTCCTAGAACGTCAACGATTGCACTCCATCGAGACCGGGACAGCCCTCCTGGCCGGACGAACCAACTGGCAGCCGGGAACGAACCAACAGCAGCCGCATGGCCGAACTGGCGGCGTGGCAGATCCGGCGGCTGGCCGTGGCTACCCTGGCCGAGGTGGCGGTCGTGGTGGTCAAGGCCGTGGAAGAGGAAGAGGCCGGAACTCTGGCGGGCAGCGGCACTCGGACAGCTACGGATCCTGGAACTCACTGAACCAAAACCCTAACCCTACCCCGGGTCTTCTCGGCCCTCGCCCACCCCCCTACTCCTACCCCAATGCTTTTGCCCACTACTCCCACACCAACCCA